GGGGGGGAGGTGGGGGGGGGTGGGGCAGGGGCATTAAGCTTATGTGTATAGTTGTGTGCCATGGAGGGCGGGTCGCATTGTAGGGACAGCGGAAGGAACTAGGGGGGAATGTGAACAACCACATGCGTGGACTGTTGATGCATTCTCTTGCATTCAGGGTGGTGGTGGGGTGACACGAAGTGCAATGCGTTGGATTTCCCTTGGAAAGAACACGGTCTCGAGAGAGGTCCAATCAGACGATGCTCGGACGCAAGCTTCCGAAGCCAAGTTTCCGAATACAACCGTTCCAGTTTTCGAAAACAACCGTCGAGTTTCCGAATACGAGTTTCCGCATACAACCGTCGAGTTTCCGAATCCAACCGGTTAGTTTCCGAATACAACCGTGCAGTTTCCGAATACAACCGTCTCAGTTTCCGAATACCAGTTTCCGAATACAACCGTAACCGTGTAGTTTCCGAATACCAGTTTCCGAATACAACCGCGTAGTTTCCGAATACCACCCTTCCAGTTTCCGAATACAACCGTCTCAGTTTCCGAATACCAGTTTCCGAATACAACCGCGTAGTTTCCGAATCCCAGTTTCCGAATACAACCGTTCCAGTTTCCGAATACAACCGTTCCAGTTTCCGAATACAACCGTGGAGTTTCCGAATACAACCGTCCAGTTTCCGAATACAACCGTGACCTGGTCAGGTGGGTATGACTATTAAATTTAGATATGATATTGTATTAACACAATTTAATACATATTAATTGTATAAATTATATAATTATATAGTATATACACCTAATATTAACTCTGAAAAGATGTGAAAGGACGCGGATTCGTGTTTCCATTGAAGCCTGTGCTGCAGGGGACTGAGCCTCGGGTCCCAGAGCTTGGTTGCGAGGAGCAGGCGCGGGGAATGCCTTTTTGGAGGTGTGGTTTCCTTACAATTTGCAGGAGGAAAGGAATAGGCAAGAGGAAGTGAACCAATGTTAAACAATCATACTACACAAATAATTAATTAGGACTAATGAGGACTAACCAGGACTTTGACCTCAAAACAATAAGCACCTACACGTGAACCGGGTGAATCATTTGCAATATTATTCCTACATATTCCTACTGTAGGTTTGGCCAACTCATACAAATCAAATCAGTGATTTGACTGCTCATGTTTGCTAATTGGTGCGGTGCATCTTGCTGATTCTTCACATTTGTACTTAATTTAGGGTTTGAATGACAAATGCCCACACTGCCTCACCTGAAGCCCAAGAATTGAACATCGAAACATCATGAAACATCCTTGCACTTGGGCTTTGCAGAGTGTCACATGGTCCAACCGGTGAGAGAGGTTTGCACACGTCGGACAATCCATAGCAACATGGCAAAACACAAGTTGAGCTTTTTGCCCTCACCGATGTTGAATCTTTCGTGCCTGTTCCACACCGCAGCTTGAAATAGCAGTAGGATGAGATGGCTCAAAGTAATTATCTCAAACTGTAGGCACTCATACAGATCATGGAAGGCTACAACTGCCATGGACACAGGATCCGCACATTGGACATTTCCTCCTAGAAGTGTCATCAAAATAGTCCATTTGCATCGGAGGAGGCAATGTGTTCTTCACCATTTGAGCTCCTTTGAAAGGCGTATCAAGTAGACCGTCTCGCCATGATGGGTTTCAGACTGGTTTTCTTGTACCTCTTGCAGGAAGTGGCAGCTCAGATAGAAGGACTTAGCCTGAGTTACTACAACAGTTTGGTGGCCAAGAAGATCCTCATTTGGGGAGGTGATGAAGGAGAAGGTCTCGTGATGGCAAAGTTTGTCCATTCCCGTTGCTCCCTGCTTCTGCTGGTTGGCAAGGATGCTGCGTCAGCAGAAGCAGCTGCGACTGACATTCTGGCGACGCCGCCCAACGCGGGCACCTGCCCACCAGGAGTTGAGCCTGTCGTGCAGTGGGACGCTGGCGACATCCACAATTCGACCTACGTCCTCCTTCTGACCGCTAGGTACCAATCTGTACTGGGCGGACCACCAGAGATAGCGTGGAACTATGCCAGCTGATCGCTTGGCGGTTCACAAAGTGATCGCCTGAGCGGCAGAACCAGAACTGGCTGCTTTCAATGGGATTCGGCGGACGTGTGAACTGACAGACCTCTGCCTTTGGTCCCAAACCGGCAAAAAGTGTGTGAGGATGGAAGCTCCCTCAGCTTCGTTTGGCAATTTCATTTCACAGTTGTTTGTTCATTGCGAGTGATCGCCTATAAATATTGGGCAACACTTGTCAACCACCTCGGAAAGAATACTGGACCAAGACTCCGATTTTTATGTTGCGCAGTTGCGCAATTGGTGCCATTGAAGCCTTGCAGTTTCCTGGAGTAGCTAAACCTATAGATACCGTGGCATGTGTGGTAAGTCGTTCAGATTCATGTTTGTTGGTGTGTGGAAGAACCAATAGCATACCGTGAGTGAAGGTGTGGAATTGGCATTCAGAAGCATGCCAAAAGGCTACATGTTCCAAGGGGGCGTCGCCGGCCATGTCACGTGAGTTGATTCAATCCGAAGGCCCTTCGTGTTCTTTGTCCGCTTGGCAGGCGGCCACTTCTCCTCAAGGAACGCCCTTTGCGAGACCATTGCGACCAGAACTTCCAGGACGACCGGGCCGGGCGCAGGGAAGACCGGCGCAGGGAGGGTCGTTGGTCCTCCACAAGGGACTCATCACCCAGCAGATAAAGATGCGTGCTTTGGGTTCGGTTTGGCCTTTATGCCCAGCCACTTGCAGGCTTTGCGTGTGAACCATGGGTCTTAATGGATTACTGTAAATGTGTTTCAAGGAGAAACAGTGATTAGACATAGATCATTCATTCACCTAATTGCACTTTGGACCACATACATTATTTGCGTGTTCAACAACACATACAGCGACAATGGGATACCTTCGTACTGGCGCAGACTTGAGGAGACTTGCTTGTGGATTTTGTTGCTTGTAGAATCTTGAGGTGTTTGGAACTATATATATATAATCTTGTATTTGCGCGAGCAAATTTGTATGTAAGGAATCTTGCTTGCCACCTGTTTAAAGAAAAACATCGATGCATTGCAGCTTCAACCATTGCCCTTAAGGTGCAAAAGGTGCCTCTCAGAGCACAGCTGCCTGGGCCGTCGGCAGATGACATGAGCCAATTCAGTAGGTTCCACGCACCAGAATGCACGTCACCACATCGCGCACATTGAATTCCCCCAAGATGTTTGATCTGTTTTATGAGAAGATGTTTGAACTATCTTGCAGGATACGCGTGCCTTGCAAGTCAATGGACATTAGGCCGTAGTTACGCCGTAGTTATTAACAAGTTTTCTCGCCAATCAGACCTGGGATTGCTTTCGCGAGCTTTGCAGGTCTTCAGCCTGTGCCTGTTGTGGCAGCGTGGGGAGTCTCAGAAGCACTTGTGTTAGCACTCAAGGCCCTTAAAGGTTCCATGGCAGTTTTCGTTCCACCATTTTTTGGTGCAAAATAACTGCCGTAGCACCAAGACTGGCGGTAGCATCACCCCTGTGCTTTGCCGACTAGCACCACTGTCCAGGCAACCGGTGCTGATACGAGCCCCGGTCCAGCTGCCACAGCCACCGGTAGGCAAGTGGGAGCCTAAAAGAGTGGCTCCCAAATTCCCAAATGACGGTTGCACTTGATTTGTCCTCAGGTTGAATTTATAATGCAATGGGTCATGAGCCCTTATTGCCACAAAGAGAACACAGTTTTGCAAACATTGAGCTGAGTACACAAAATGCACCCTGTTGAATGACACATGGCTCACAGAATGAAGATGATTTGCCTCGGGCATTTAAAGCTGGCCGTTGTTTGAAAAACAATCCACCTGAAAGCGTCAGGTAACTTTCTGTGGCGAACACTGTTTGTGCATCGAATCCTAACATTGGAACCATGATGAACCCAGCTGCCACAACTGACTCTTGATCAGGAACATGCTACTAGTAGCTGTTGGCATTACTACTAGAAACAAGAAGCTACTAGGAACAAGGGCATCGCAGGGCATCGCTACTAGTAAGAAAGGGCATTACTAGGAGGAATATATAGCTACTATCCTGGAATGCCTTTTCTACTAAACCGTAAAAAGCCGGTTCAGATGCAGCAGGTGCTTTGCCCGCCATTCGCTTGGCGGATGTGCACTTCGGCCCGGTGTGGCGGCCCTTCATCGGCGGGGCTCGGCAGGGAGTGAGAGCACTGAATGCAAAGCTGGCCCAGTTGAGAGTGGGGCAACGAGGGTAATGAGTTCCAGATGGGTTCTCAGACACACAGAGGAGATCCATGATCCAGGTTGTCAGGATTTGTCAGGTAAGTTAGGTCATTACTCGTCTCTTTGGCAAGCAGCCAGAAACTGATCTGGAAAGAATTCCTGGAAATCCTACTCTACGACGTCTCACAACTTTCAATGCCCAACAGCTCTCACTGGGGGTTCGGACATTTTCTCCATCTATTCTGCTCGATGTCAGAAAGTGAACTACGTGGGTAGGAGGCCGTAGTGGGAGGCGGGGGCCTTTGTGCAGTGTTTCGAGGTGCAGTTCCACATCCACAAGGACAACTGATGTTAGACTCAGAGGATTTTACATTTTTTTTATTCGGAATCAAATATGGAATCTTAAATAAAGGATTCCTCAGTGATGATTATATACATATATGTTTTCTATTTTGTCTCATTAAACCCTTAGATCCAACCTGATCCATCGATCCCGAGGTCTTGGGCTCCGGTGGCTTTGGCTCGGTGCACCGGGGCCACCTGCGTGGCTATCCCAACGAGGCGCCGGTGCTCCGTGGTGTCACCCGTTGGCCGGGGCGAGTTGAAGTCTGGGAGGTTTGCTTGGAATGATCTAACAATTGCTTGGATCTTAAACCTGCAAGTCATTTCTAAACAGAACAGGGGACCACCAGAGTGCGTATTTTATGTGTTTTTGCTGCCTACTTCCATCTATGTACTATAAACTTCCCACTGTGGCCTGCATTCATGCTATGTGTTTGTGAAAGCTGCCTCAATGTCCTTTGCACTGGAAAACAAACACAAACAGTCTCGAGAAAATATAGACAAAACCAATAACAACCTAGGACAAGCCAAAAAACCTTGGGAAAACCAAAAAAAAACAATTCTCAGAGACTCTTGGCTGGACCCCCCCCTTTCCTCAAGACTTCCCCCGAATTGTTCTTTTTGTTTTCCCAAGTTGTTTTTTGTGTTTTTGCTTTTCCTAGGTTGTTATTGGTTTTCTCAAGGTTTTTTTGTGGTTTTGGTTTTCCTATTTAGGTCAATCTGTGTTCTTACTATTTCGTTCAACCTTCAAGTATGTGAGCCTAAGTCTCACCTAAAGGCATATGTTCTTTGCTCTTACAATGAAAGCGTCTGAGCCCACCATTCCCTTTGTCCTTGTCGAAATCTCCATGTACAAGTCTGTGCATTGACTTCTGATTGGTATCAATGTGGTTGCCAATTGCATGTCCAATCAGCTTGACATGAAACTGTAATGATACCTTTCAATTTACATGAAATTGTTATGAATCTGTGTAAGCTGTAGTTCTAATTCAATGCTTGTTGCTTTTGCTTCGGCTTTGTAATATCGAAGCCTCCTCGACTTGTGCATCTTGTAGCTCAAGCGTTTTACATCTTATTCTGGCGAACTTCTAATTTTAATTCCAATCCCTTTCTAATTCAACTCTCATCTAATTTTAAATAGGTATTATAGTTCAATACAAGTTTAGTTGAACTTCGGTTTTAATTCAGTTCTATCTTAGCTCTAACTCAAATCCAATTTAATTCTACTTAATTCTATTCTAGCTCTAGTCTATTTAGTTTAAGAAGACACATGCTACAAAACCCTGTGTTTTACAGTATTTGTTTGCACTCGGAGTGCTGGGAACAAGACTAAAACTCTTTTTTGAAGTAAATAGTTAGATTTTGTTTATTTACAGTAATCACTGGAAATAATATAGACATATTAATTTTGTTTTATGTACAAGCTTCTAATTCAAGAGCTTCCCTCTAGATCTCTGTGGATGATCATTTCTACAATAAAAATATCTAAAAGCTTTGATTTCAAAAGCTTTCCTCTGGCTCTCTGGAAATGGTCATGTCAATTTAAGCATGCTATATATATACTTAGAAGTGCTTAGTCTAATTTTTTGTAATTTTTTTGTTTGTGGGTTGCCGGTATATCACGAACGGTGCTCAAGCAAACACGTTGAAAAACGAGAAGACAAAATAACTCAAGGGCAGTGAAGTGTCCGTGGCCCCACAATGAAATATCTATCATGTGGGATTGCTGCCCAGTAAGAAGCTATACTCGAAGTAGACAGACACAATGTGAAAGTCTTGCCGCCAAGACTGGCTTATACCTGAGATGGAATGACACTGTCCTTTTTATCCGGGTCTAGCCAGTACTCAGCAGTTTCTGGGGTGTGACCCTGTCAACACCCCTTGGGAACGAGAACGGTCATGTTGAAGAACGAGAATGGGAAATATCTTTCTTACATCCGGCAACCGCATCACTTCCAATCAGCTCATTTTTCCCGCCCAGTGTAGGCGACAGGTCGAAGGTTTTTCTCCCAAAGCTGCAGCTCCAATGACTGAAGCAGCCGTGGCCAAAGCAGCCATCACTCCAGCGAATCCCAGACTTGGTCGTCATCTCTGCAGCGGGGTCCTCCTCCTCTTCTGGTTCTTCTTGGCCGCCATCTTCGCCGTCATCAGGAGCGATTGCCGCTGGCTTGGGCTTGGTCTTCGGCTTGGCCTTGGGGGGCACCTCCCCTGCCTCTGCCCCTCCCTTTTGGTTTGGGCTGCGGCTTGGCCTTCGGGTCAGGACCGCCAGAGGCCCTGAGACGGCGTTTTCTTCAAGCCAACTGCTTCAGAGTAGGCGGCCGAGAACAAAGGAGAGTTCGGGTCGACCATGTTCTCTTTCAACAGCTCCAGCAAGCGATTCTCCAAGCCACGCGAGCGCGCCTTACGATGAAGCAGATTCCAACGTAGCCTGCGCGCGCGCAGGCATGCCCAACCGAATCTGGCATCACTCGGTGTCATGTCTACACTATTTTCGCGTAATAGCAATGCGCAATTTCTTCGTAAAATGCAAGTGGCAAAGAATGGTATAGCGCATGGGTTCGGGCTCGTTTGCTGCACGGTTGGACGCCCGATCGTCACCATCGTCGGTTGTTTTGCCGCCCACTGGCACCAAATGCTTTTTGCCGAGCATTTCGTTTTTCTCCTGCCATTTGACGCGCCATTCTTCCGCCAACTTGGGCCACGCTACTCCAAGCAGCAGGTCGCCATTGATGCTGCCCTCAAATGCTTCCGGGCTCACACAGGCAAAGTCAATTTCTTGCTGCCGAGGACCAAGCAAGGGTGCCCGCGCTTCTGACGCGCTGCTTTCTGGAGGCAAGGCTGTCTTCAGTATAGGCAATCAGACGGCTATCCCATACCAAGTTGGGTTGTCTCCTTCATCGTCGTCCTCGTCCTGTTGTCCTTCTTCATCTTCATCTTCATCCTCAGATGCTGCTGCTCCTTTCTTGTTCCCTTCTGCTTGCGCCTTCCTTCCAAGGTGCTAGAAGCTTGTTTTTGCTTTCCTGCTTGCCTCCATCCAAAATCCAACCCGATCTCACCCGGTTGGAGGGCACCGGGCCCATCTCCAGATCTGGCGTTGAAATATGATTATTTATTCGTCTGATTGGGGAAAATTATCGTAAGCAAATCAATGCTTACAGTAAATTGGTCACATAGTTGTGTAAGGAGTAGTCAAATCGCCCTCTCCTTACACACTTCGGGGACGTCCCCAAAGTGCCGTGCGAGCAGCCAGAAAGTATACAAGAGCCTTGAGTCAACAATCCGCTTACCGTAATTTCATTTCGTCCTCTTTTCGGCTGCTCCTTACGCACCTCGGGGGCGTCCCCAAGCTACGGTGTGAGTAGGCAATTCGCCCTCTCCTTACACATCCCTTTTCCGCTATGCTGAGGCGCGGAAGGAGCAGTCAAAATTCTACCAGTGGTGTGGCCGGAGCAGCCAAGACCTACTAGGCCGAAGCAGCCTTCTTGCCACCGGCTGGGCCGAAGCAACCCTTTGAGCGCTTGGGCGAAGCAGCTTGACAAGGCACTACTTGTAAGACTAACGAGGCAGCCTCCCTGGAGGTCGCACAGAACAGCTTCAGCCATGTCGCCAAAAAAGCCAGACTGAAGCCGTCACCACTTGAAGGTCGGGGTTTCTAAGCGCGAGAGACTCTGCAAAGAGCTTGCTGAAACTCATGGTTGGTGAATTCTGTCACCTTCAAGTTGCTCTTCAAGTTGACGGTCCTGCCAGGCAAGCCACAGGCGATACGAGTCACTGGGTAATGACAACTGTGGCTGAAACGAACAGTGGTCAGAACATCCAAGTGATCATCACTTCATCGTCTGTGTCAGCAGCAGCATTTGCCCACATCATTGCATGGCGTGCGCACTCCAGAACATCTTCCCAATCCTTTCCAAAGGCTTCTTTCAAAACTACATGGGCGCCGTTTACCAGCCTTTGGAAATCTTCGCAGGATCGCTCGCTCTTCAGGCGTCTTTGGCACAAGGAGCTTCCATCATGGTAGGAGCGGGTCAAGATCCGAGGAATAGTACCCTAAATGGCTGCGGGCGCACTAGAAACAATTGGACATGAGATGAGTCATGAGAGTGGGAAAGGGTAGAACGTTTGGTCCAATGACTTCATGGCTTCTGCCACGCACCAAGTCATTTGGGCACCCTTTCGATCAGAGCAAGTGGCCTGTCCGTTTCGGATATTTTGGGGAAGATGTTCAAACTCAGCTTCTGAAGGAGCGAGCCTCTTTGATACGATGGTTGTTTTGCCAGCCACCGTTTGTGCCACAGCGGCTTGGTGATGCTTGTTGGCTGCGTGGCTCTTGAAATTACTGCGTTGGAGACCCGCCTCCGTTCTCACATTGAATGTGGCAAAGCTAGTGGTGTGCCTTGCTGCACGGCAAGCTTGGCAACCGACACCCCAAGGTTTGCCTTGCACTTGCAGCCACGAGCCCTGGCTAGGATCGCTTGGAACTAAAAGAAATTCGTTCTGCCATTTCACATCTGAATCTAAGCGATCCCACTTTGCTTATAAGCCCTCTCGACAACGTCGGCGTCTGTCATTTGACCGAAGCAGCCTGTGGCCGTAGCAGCCACGTTCATCGCTGTGATGGCCCCGCACTGCAAACTTGAACCAGCAACGAGATTTGCAAATATCTTTGTCTTGCATGAAAATATCTTTGCCCCCTCTTAAAACTGGCGTGTACACTTTCTAAATCTTATTTGCGATGGCTCTTCTGACATGGCACTGTTCTGTGTAAACATATGTCTTATCGCAAGTTTTCTGTGTGGTCAGAGCAGACTGTCCCATTAATTGTTTTGGTGAAATACATGCGACAATCGCAATGGCTTCAGTGTTTTGAAATAGCAGCCAGGATTTTGTTGAGTAATCGCCAGAACGAGAATGCAAAATAGAGTTAATGAACATAGCACATAAAATGGGCAGAAACCTTCAACCTGATTTCTTTCACACTGAAAAAATTACAAAAAATTAGACTAAGCAGTTCTAAGTATATCAATGAATATGTTTTTCTTTCAAGAGCTTTCATTTCATGAAAACACACATGGGATATCTCACAGTCCCCCGCTTTCTTTCTAAAACAGACTTGCAGTGACTTAGAGTCCAGACTTGCTGGTTTAAGAAGCGATTTCTTAGCAAGGGTGTCTATCATCCATCGCAATTGCAAAGAGACCAACCACCAGAACACCCTGTTTTCCAGTTCCCCAAACACTTTCCACTAGCCTTCTCACTCGGACCGACTCATGCGTTCCTTTTCCGACTGAGGTGGCCATCAAGAAGCTTCACCTCATGGGCCCCTTGAGCCAGGCCGGTCGCCTGGGGATTCCGCCAGGAATATGAGAGGTGTGAACCAATTTTTGTGACGCGGAGTAGTGCGGACGCGCTTGTTTGCTGGACCTGCTTTCTTTGTTCATGTTTGATCATGTTTGTTCATGGAGTGTGTGCACAATCGTTTGTTGAAGCTTGGTGGTGTGACAGCATTGAATGTTTTAGACCTCCAACGTTCGTGACCGACCTGTTTCAGAACACCTCATCACGACACGTAGGAGCACCTGAAGGAATTCTACAAGGAGGCGGCGAACCTCCAAGCTTTGAGGCTGGAGCTCCGATGAGATTGCTGATCCCGCGTCAGGAGATTGACAGTCAAGGTTTTGGTACAGGTTCGTTGGGCTCCATCGGTCCGAGGTCCCCACATCCGCGGTCGTCTCGACCGAGGCACGAGCGTTTGATCCAACTCATTGGGATCGCCTGTGAGATGCCCTTGCTGTGCATCGTCACCGAGGTAGGGGCGTGGGATGGCCTGGGGGTGGTTGGCGGCTATGGAAAGAGGTATAGGCCACTAGGCCACTATAGTTAGTATCTCTATGAATGGTATAATCTATGAATTTAGGAGGATAGCTCACGCTTCTTCAAGAAAGCTCCCTGCCTGAGGGTGGGGGGGAGTTTCTTTGAAGAAACGCTCACGCTATTCATTTGGCTCCTAGATGTTTGGGAAAAGAGAAAAGATGAGAAAAGACCTCAATCTGGCCACTCGGAACCTGGTCAGCAAGCAGGACATGATATCTTTAGCTTCTTGGGTGAAGTTGGATTCTTCAGGATGTGTTCATTTTCCGCATGAACATGAGACATACTGAGATAAGATAATGTATTAAGGAGGAATTGTGCGATGTCCAGTTCAGGTTGGATGTGTGTTTCAAATTCTGTTAATTTGATAATTCCATAGACTTCCAACCCAAAGCCGTTTGTATCCATTTGTTTACAATCATCCAGAATGCAACATCGTGTTTACAACATTTTTATATCCTTTTGCAAGGGTGTTTTCTTGGATACATGGGGAACTGCCCAGGAAAGTCTCGGTCTTCCCATTGAGCGCTGATACGTGAGGGGCTTCTCACTTGCAGAGTCTCAATATTGTGATGTTCCCAGCCATCAATCGGTTTTGGTCGTTCATGTCCTGGTGCATCTATTCTACGAATAATTACCAAGGATTCTAGGTTAATCACATTATATAACCAAGTAACCAAGCAACCAACAACTGCTCTAACTCGTGTAGGGATTCTAGGGGTTCTGTTACTCAGCATCAAATTCCCGTCACCTATCAACGGTGAGTTTTCACATGTTTCAGGGTTGGTCTTGTGCCACTTGCGGTCGCTCGGTGCTGCTTCTTTTTGTAAATGCGCTTTCTTGCTCAGCTGGCGGCGGGTGGATCTCTCCACGATTTGCTCCACGTGAAACGCCTGCAGTTACAGGAGGCGTGTTGTATATGGCCGGGTTGTCGGGGTTGATGTATGGGCCATTCGGTACCCATGGCATATCCCCACAGGCCCCAACAGGATTCTGGGTTCCCAAGTATTGGTTCACGATGGTTTATGTAGGGTTTGGCCAAGTCTTAGTATTTCAGCCAAGAGCTCTCAGGGTCAGTCAACAATACCCTGATTCAAAGGAGTGAAAAGGTATCAAAGCCCTTTGGTACATACATCGAAATACCTGACCTACCAATGCCGACTGATATATCAAGGCCTCAAGGATACTCGAAGGAAGGTCGTTGCATGTCATTTAAGACCAAGCTCGGGGAGAAAGCTCAGTGCTTCACGAACGAGGCTGTTGTTCATAGTCTTCAGCAGTAGGTTGGAGGCCATCGCTCTTAGGTTGGAGGCCATTGCTATTAGGTTCTTCAGCAGTGCGTTTAACGTCGATTTGAACTCCAGTGGAGCCACAGCGTTTCTCCAGGCAGCCCTTTAATTGAACTGACAGAAATCACGGTGCGCTGTTCTGGGGAAGTGCCCAGACGTAAAGCAAAGAAAGAAGACACAGATCACCACTTTGCCTTTGAATAGTCAACCACTGTTTGATTGAGGTGTTGTGATTGGTTTGGCTTCAAGCAATCACAAACACAAAGAGAAAAGTCTATATAGAGATCAAAGACTGCAGGTTTGCGCATGCCTTTGCTGGCTTTGATGGTGTTTGGCAAAGCCAGAGGGGCCCGACCCTTTAGCAGACTCTAGGAGATCTTTGGGCCATTAATGTTTTTATACCCTAGGAACTTTGATCACTATGGCGCATGGCGCAGCTCCTGTGGCCCTGGTGCCCGGTTGGTCTGCCGGACCACAGCTCCACCCTGGAGTGTGCATGGCACAACAGGGCGTCTGGGCAGGGTGAGGTGTTTTTTCCCTTAATGAAAGCTGTTTTTGTGGGAGTCCCAGAAAACCCGTATATCACGTAAATCTGTTACACTTTGCAGGATCATCGGAATCATCGGACTTTCATACTTGTCGCAGGAGGAACACCATGGTTTGGTTGGAGATACATTGCTTTGTAAAATCGAATTAGTAACTAGACCTCACTGAAAAGGTTAGCAACATCCAGTACACGGTAGGGCTTTCGGTCACGTGGGCTGGTGTCAAGCACCCACTTTCGAGTTATCTCCTGGCCTAAGGAGATCCTTTGCTTCCTCTACTTCCGCCAAAAAGGCCGCTTGCTGCCTGCTGGGCCGGGCAGGAGCGAGAACGAGAAGAGACTGAAAAAGAAATGAGGAAGAAAACGAAAGCACCCTTGACTAAATTTATAATTATTATACTCGTCCTCCAAACCGTATATCTACAGTATATATTATATATACACAGAGAGATACTGGATGATACCGGTATGAATAAGCAATTTCCACTAAGAACAACATATGTATGTAGTAAATAGTTTGGATATTTGGGGATCACTTGGCAAACCACTGTGAATCTTGGTGGAGGTGGAGCAAGACACTCCGCTCTTTCATTGGCTCTAGTGGATTTTAGTGGCAAGGAAACAACGAGGAAAGGTTCTTTCTGTTCATCCAACGAGGAAAGGTTACTATTGGTCACTGGGATCGACAACCCGGGACACCCTGGGATCAACACATGGAACGGGAGTGCCTGCAGGACTGCAGGAATCTTGCGAAGGGTTGCGGGCTGGACCACAATTGCTTCTGACGGCCATTGGGATACGCAGTCCCATCTAGGTGGCACCGCCAGCTGCTTGCACTAATTTGAGTCAACAGCTTTTGTTTTGATTTGAAATGCGGAGCGCATGATCAGCATGAGCTTAAGGCTGACAGAGACTGCAGCTAAGGCCTTGTCCTTGGTGCTGCGTAAGAGTCATGCAAGGAGCAAAGCATCAAAGCTACGCAGGGCTCGTTTGGAGGCGTTTTTGGGGCGGTTGCGCTTCGAAGTTCGGCCGCAATTTTCAGACACTTCTGGAGGCGTGGGGTGTCCAAAGGTACGGTGGAGCTGAGAGTTGAGAGTTTCCTGAGGAGGGCCATTTAATTTAGGTTCTTTTTTGTTTATTTTTAGTGTTTTTTTTTTTTCTGGGCTGTGGCTTTTGGCTTTCGTGGCTTTCGTGGCTTCTGGATTCTGTGTGGCTTTTGGCTTTCGTGGCTTTCGTGGCTTCTGGCTTCTGTGGCTTTTGGCTTTCGTGGCTTCTGGATTCTGTGTGGCTTTTGGCTTTTGTGGCTTCTGGCTTCTGTGGCTTTTGGCTTTCGTGGCTTTTGGATTCTGCGTGGCTTTTGGCTTTCGTGGCTTTCGCGCTTCTGGATTGTGTGTGGCTTTTGGCTTTCGTGGCTTTCTAGCCATGCGAAGGAAAGAAGGAGGGAAGGAAGGAAGGAAGGAAGGAAGGAAGCAAGGACGAGGGCTTCTGCACAAAATTTGCAGTTCAAGGTCCACAAAGTACTGCGCGTACCACGAAGTCTGCACTTCAAGGTGCACAAAGTACTGCACCTGCCACAAAATTTGCACTTCAAGGTCCACAAAGTACTGCACCTGCCACGAAATCTGCACTTCAAGGACCGCAAAGTACTGTGCCTGCCACGAAATCTGCACTTCAAGGTCCACAGAGTACTGCACTTGCCACGAAGTACGAAAAACAATAAAACAGCAAGAAGCAAAAAAAATCCTAAATTAAATCCGAGCCCGTTTCCTGAGGGGAAAGCCGGTGGAGCATCTTGCATTTGCATGCATTTGCCATGTACCACACCTGATCACACCTGACCAGGCAGCTGCCCAGGAAATGCATTGGTTGTAGGAGTGCAACGCTGCAGCGGGATGCTTTGGGCTGGCTTGACTTTGGCTATGCTTGACCAGCGAGGTCAGTTGAATGGCATTGCACGTGCCGCACATGTTCTGTTGGAAATTCATTTGGCAAAGTTCGACTTGAACTCCGAGCCACTTCTCTAGCGTTTGATGCGCGTTTGGGTGTGTGGACGGTTCAGGGTTGATTACAAGGGTCCACTTTTGTATACAGGATGTGAGATGCATGGTGCATAATTCCTGCTACAGCAAGACAGGTTTCGTGCATTTGCGTGACTCATGTGACATCTCTTGCCCACTGTCCGATACGGCAATGGCTTGTGCTTGGCCAAACCGAGGCACTTGCGGCCTCCCCAAATGGCAGACGCATTTGTTGTATCCCTGGTGTCATCAACAGATGAGTGGGCAGTTGCACAGGCCTGAGGGAAAGCAGCAAAGTAGAGAAGAGTATCATTTAGGTTAAATTGCAAATTATGCCCAAATCAACATGATTCCCAAGTGATAGGAAAGTGAGCAGTAATCTAGATGTGGCATGGAATATATTTCTACTGCAGGGCATGTAGAACATACAGATGACTGGTGCACAGGATGTACCAATCAACACGCGTGCATGGTACTTCGACAAACTCAAACATTGAAAACGTTGTGAGTCACGTGTGTGTTCGACATCTGTCTTTTTGAGGTTGATTGCTGACTCAAACGACCACGCACGCTCCTGTACTCGTTGACGGACCATTTCTTGGAACAGGAAAACGGCTCCAGGTGAGCCCGAATGGGGCCAGTCCCACCCTCCGGGATCACACCAGGCGCTGCATCCTTCGGCTGGGCTCATGGGTTCTTTCTTAGCTCCTTCAGCTCAACCAGGTGGTGTAGCTCTTCCCTTGGAGGTGCCTGGGCTTGGTGGAAGTGAGCAGCGATGCTTTAACCGCTGGGACCTACAAAAGGACATAAAAGGACCCATTGATTGAAAGTAAGTAATTATATAGCCGAAATGGATCAACATGCTTCGTTTGATTGGAGTTGAAATGGAAACTTCGTCGCTGTGTCCTCAAGGGATGCAAGAAGATTAGACTAAAAAGATACTCCTTGCCGAGGGGCAAGGGGTTTGTATGCGTTTTCCATGTTACCGGAAGCATGCCTCCTTGCATCAATTTTGCCGACTCAGTTACATGCTTTTCGGACTCCTCCTTCTTGTTCAGTCTTGTTCCTTCGTAACAAGTTGAAGCATGCTGCAGAGGGCAATGGAGGAAGTGGTAAGGGCCGCGGTCGTTTGGGTAAAGGTCAAGGTGGCAAAGGCAAAGAGCCTTACACAAGGTGGAATCAGGAGAACCCAGTCCGATGCTGCAGAGGTGACTGCGCAACCTAATCGAATGTTGTTGGACCGAATTGCTACGGATCTAGCAGTTTAACAAGAAGTTCTTGCAAACTTGCCAACGCACGGTCTCTTGGGGAAGAGGCAGAGCTTGATGGCGTGAGAGATTGGTGCCATCGTGCTCGCATAGAAAAACACCTTTTAGCATGATCGTACAGCCGACGAACTCGGCTTACATCATCTCGAACCTTTCGATGTTGACAACCAGTCCGTCGCTCTGAGCAACCTGCCTAAATTCATCAAAGAAAAATGCGGTGGTGTTCTCGATCTAAATCATCCCAATAAACCTGGACTAGCACGACAGCGTCAAACTGCAACGACGTATTGCCACTGTACAAGTGCACAATTTCGGCTGACGCACATGTTAAGCCTTTGATTGTTGTAGCTACTTTAGAGGATGCTTTGCGCTGTACACGCAAAGAAAAAGAACATAAAAGAACAACATGCTGCATTTGAGCATGTTGATCCAGCTGGGGAGCAAACTGCCATGTCTCCCGTGGAACTAATCGTTCTACTTTCAGCGGACGTTGGTGGATCAATAGTGGTAAAGAATGGTCCAGACACGGTCCTGTTGGTGCAGACACCTTCGACGCCTGACCACCACATGAGGTCTTAGCGGACGAAGGTCTTCTTGGAACTCTCTTGGGACGCTCGCCGGAGCTCCTGCAGCTTTATGTGGCCAACGAAGCAGAACTCCTCCGAGCATGGCAGTCGTCTGACCTTGAGGATAGTCAGTCCATTTGAACCATTCGACCATTCATGCACTATCACAAGACTGGAAGTCTTACAAGGAGGCTGGCTGACTTGTAGATCTTATTGAACAGGA